TCTCTCTCTCTCTCTCTCTCTCTCTCTCTCTCTCTCTCTCTCTCTCTCTCTCTCTCTCTCTCTCTTTCTCTTCATAATTAATAAATTTCCAGACATTAATTTCTACGAATTAATTTTGTCAATTGTCTGAATCTCAATTTATTCTTTAAAAAATTTAACAATAAATTTATATTATCTGGAAATTTCAAAAACAAATTTGTTGATTATAATCGTGCATTGCTTTGCTATGAATCTTTAATAAACTGTACAAAAACTGTACATTATCGCAAAATATTATCAAGTTTGACTTCGAAATTTGCAGAACTACAAAGAATTAAGCTAGCGGAAAACAAAGTAAAAAGGAATACTCGTAAAATACTATAAAGGAAAAGGCAGTGTATAACAAAAAACAGTGTCGAATAGATTAAAAATGTAACATTTGTCATGTAACAAGAGCAAATTATGCGCCAGATGTGCAAGCGCATGAGATAGTTTACAAAATATAATATTATTTTTTAAAGTCACACGTCTCGAAAAAATATTCGATCACGTCGCACAAGATGCATAGCAAATATCGTCTTCCTTTTGTTATTCTATGTTGCAATTATAACCCAACCAATTTCACTAGAAATGTGCAGAGATATTTTACGTAACGATATATTCAACAAAATTTCACACACTTAATGATAATAAATAATTAATTTGCAAGTATATATGAATCAACGAACAAATCCTATTAACAATCAATGACCTATCAATATGAATATGCTGTATCTATTTTTCAAATAGATTGGAGTCAAAAATGTTTAACGATCATTCGGTAGCAATGGGTGAACGATCGTAAATGAAGACCATGATGAACCGTGAGTGCACAAAGTACTAATATCATTGACAGTACACTCTGGCACTTGAACAACGCGCTGGAATAATTATGGAAAAGGCAATAAACAATTGGTATGTTACGGTGAAAGCGTCTTTATATAATCACTGATAAATCTACGGAATCATCGACTATATTGAAAGTTCAAAATTAAGTACACTCTATATAGTTTATAAACTCAAGACATGGTAATTTTATGAAATCAAAGAAAAATTCTCTTCATGTGTTTGTTTTTGTAAGATCACATAATTTTACAAAAAATAGACTTTAGGATCTTTCACGTCAACATAGTCGGTGAATCTACGCAATCATCACAGATTTCATTGAATCGCTTTCGAGTTCAGCATTTTCATCGTAACATACATAAGGCAACAATCGTACTTCCGACACATACTCAAAGATCTGTCACGGGCCCGGATAAATTTAGGCTACTGTCAATTACAAGTGAATCTTTGGAATCGCACGCGGTCGACAGACTCTTATCAATTGTGGACACGTCCACAATTTTTTCGTCATCGACATTCTCGTCAGCGTCCTCATCCTCCGCCCCATCCTCTTCATCCTCCGATGATGATGGTGACCGTACTCGATTCGTTGCTTCCTTGGTCGGGTCTTCGGAAGCGGGACACGCACTGGAAACCAGGACGTCGCGAATCTTGCTTACAGTTTCCGTGGCCGTGGCACCGTTCACCTTTTTACGCAGTATCTCCACCAGTTTTTCCAGTCTGATAAATTATGTTTTGTATCACTTTACATTCGTTCGTGCCAGCTCGGATTTGTGCTGTTCTTCCACCGCTAATGCATCCAAAAACACTTGCGTAACAATCTCTTTAGAAGCGGGTAAAGCGAAAGTTTCAGCAAAAAGCCATGCTGCCGGCTAGAAAACAGAAGAAAACGGTGCGATTCGGTGTCTACCATCCAGACGAAGCGTGCGCTGGGTATGATCTCTTCGAGGAGCAGAAGGAACCATGCAAGCGGGATTGTATTCACAATGCCATTTATGTAGATGAGATTTTGGAGGTAAAATGTGCAATAAGATTTAGCAAAAGTTTAATCTAAGTTATCGTTACTAAAATTTGTCAATCTTACACATTAAAATATATTTTTTAATCAAGTTTAAAAAACATAAACAAAATAATAAAACATTTTGGGTAAAAATTTATCTTTGGATTAAACTTTCGCTAATTGACATTTAATTCAAATTTTTAAGAATACTCTTACTGATAGATGTAATTTAGCCAAAAGTATGTTAAAATATTTTATATAAAAATTTTGATGAAATGTTCTTTTTATAAAGAAAATTTCAATGTATTAATTTAATACACTGAAATATACAATCTTAACTACACTACGACTTTTCTATTCTAAAAAAAATTCTTTTGGCGAAATACAGACTATAACTACGACATTTATGAGATTACAACATAAATGTATATGCAAAATAAAAGTTACATAAAGTTTCTAAGTCATACAAATAATAATAATTATTTCGTTCAATTTCATGGCGCTTATTAATAAAACGACGAAATACAATATGAATAACGACATATAATACAATGACGATATAAAAAAACATAGAAAAAATACATATACAAACTACAAAAAATTAATACAAATAAAAATGGATTATTAAAGCTCTAAAGTCATGCTGACAAATGGACTAACATTTAATTAACGTATATATTATGATATAATCAAAATCTATCGTAAAATTCATTAAGAAAGCATTTATTGTATATGTTTGCTTTTTACATATATTTAATTTATGTTTATACATAAAATAGAAAAGCAGATTTTCATTGTGAGTTAACAATGTATTATTAAAATATATATAAGCATATGTGTAGCTGGTAATTATAATATATTGAAGTATTTGTATATTTAACCAGCATATACTTAATCAACAACTGGAGAAATTAATGCTAATCAATTTTCTTCTTCTTAATGCTAATCAGTTTTCTTCATGAAAAAGAATCAGTAGTTTTAAAGTTGAAAAACTTATTCAAAAAATAACATTTACTAGTAAAAAATAAAAAATATATATATATAATTATAATGGAATGAAAGTTGCTCCAGTTAGCAATTAAGTCATCTTTTTCTAATTTCCCTTTAAAGTGCAATGGATATGGAAACAGTGCTGCGTTGTATCACGAACATGGCACGGATGTATTACGTTATTCCGGTATCTACATTATTAGTTACCAATATATAAGTATATGTAGTTTACATATTTTACACTAAGTGTTATATACACGTAAGCAGTGTGTGTTATCTTATAAACATATTGTTATTTTATAGACACATAAATTCATAATTAAAATTATATTATTATCAACTGATCTTTATAACAAATAAAGATCAATATCAGTCAATTACACAATTCATTAAAACTGATATTTTTTGTTTCTAAAAATGACTTGTGCCAATTGTTTTTATACATATATTTAAAAATATAAATCTTTTCCCTCTGATACCAGGATGACGTAATTCCCCTGAACATAAAGCATGGCGCAGCTGAAAGCAGGGGGGGGGCGTAAGTACGACGAGCGTGTACGAAAAAGCATGCATGACGAGTGAACAATAGACCTACGTGCTATTCGACATGTACATAGTAGTAGCCTCTAGTGAGAAGCCCCTTGAAGCCCCCTTTCGCGTATATTGACGACGAGCAGCGTGGTATTGCGGTTTATTTTTTTTTTTATCTTTTGCTCGAGGCCCCGCGCGTACGTAATTTAAATAAAGGCGGTGGTATAGGTGAAGGCGGTGGCACGTGAAGGTGCTGTTTGGGTTCTGGAAGTCAAAGGTTTCGTCGAGCAGAAGTCTTTCGGCATGATGCAGCCACCACCGACCACAGCGACATCGGGCACCTCGGTGATGGCTCGGCTCGTATGGCTGTCATTGAGATAATAACTTTCTTCCTCGTTCACCGCGCCACAATTAACCGCGTACGAACTCGAGGAATCGGCCAGAATCTTGGTGTCTTGCAGCGAGCTCTTGTCAGATTTGTCCGTTTCGCTGAACGATCTCTTCAAGCTGCTCTTCTTCCGTCGCGGTTTTTTAAAGCTGCTTCGTTGATTACGAAACTCGCCCGGTCTCTGCCAACTCGCATGATCAATCGATCTCTCTCTCTTGCTCGTCACGTCGCTATCCGACGAATCCTCCTCTTCCTTGAGTATGCTCGGTAATGCATCGATTTCCGTTTCATCTTTTTTCTGCAGTGATTTGATGTACACTTCCATTCGCTCCCATTTTCTTGAAAGTTCATCGTCAGGCTGTTCCTCTGGAATGTCAGTTAAGATATTGGTTTGTGTGTGTGTGTGTGTGTGTATTTCCTCCTTCAAAGATTTTAAGTCCGTCATCAAAGATTTTAGTTTGCTTTTCTCCGCGATGTGAGCCTTACACATTTCCCAATTCGTAAATAATTCCGTAAAAGTGTCGTCAATATCGGTGGATATTGAATTCTGATTTCTGCTCTCATTCCCAGGTTTAATTCCAACCGTGTTCGTGGCATTATCGTTCATGTAAGTCGAATAGGGTGCCGAAGTTGTCTCTGAACTCCGATCGCTTTCATCCTCCGTGGATGGTGCAGGTTCTTCGCGTAATGTAGACTCGGAATCAGTTCCAGTGCTTGGACGTTGATCCGCCGTCTCGGAGACGAGCAGAAGGGTCTCTACCTCCACGGAACGGGAACGTAGAACGGAAGAGGCGGAGGAGGAGTGCGATGAGATTGCAGATGAGAAAACGGGGGATAGGGAACGAGTGTCGGAAAGAGCGGTACGCACGGGGGTGCTAGTTATACAGGGCGTATCGAAAGTTACAGGCGTAACAGAACTGGATACCGCAAAGTTTACGCACTTTGCCGCATGATTCTCGGCCAGAGTCCTGGACGCCCGCGCCTCCTGGAGCTCCCGCCGTAACGCCAGGGTCTCCTCCTCGAAAGCTGCGATCTCGCGGCCTTCGTTGCTAAGTGCGAATAGAATTGATTTTTTTTTGTTTTTGCCAAGAGCAAATTTCCACTTCGATTAGTTAGAGCACAAAGCGTTAATTCAATCGATATTGTTAGTACTGTAAATTAATTTCGAAGATCGCGTTCGTCAAAGAATTAAGCGGAAAGATGGTTAAAATATATTACAGAATTAAAATAGAATAGATTTTTTTAAATCATCGTGGATAGTGATGAAGATTTATACAGAAGTGCAGAGATTCAAACGTTTCATTATTCACAAAGGCTTTCACTTGCCTTCTATTTTGACTACATAACTTTACCATGAAAAGCGTTACATTGTAACGAAGCTATGGCCAAATTTATTTCAGATGAAATCGCGTGGTCCATTATAGAGCAGCCATAATAACCATAAATAAACGAAAACAAGTAAAACTTCAAGCTTCTAAAGATATTACAAATACTAAAAAAGGTACTTACGTTGCGCTCAACTTCAACGCCATCACTTCCTCCTCCAATTTCGCGACACGCTGATTGCTTTCCTCTTTTTCCTTTGTCAACTTCAACAATTGATTCTGCAACAAAAAAATAAAAATTGAGCATTAACAGTCGCCTAAACTGACAACAGAAGTATTATAAAAGCAGATAGAAAAAAAAATACAAATAACAATAAAATATAATTAATAAAAGGCACGATAAAATATTTCTTTATTTCCATTTAAATATGAGTCTCCTTTCTTAACAAAATACTAAATTTAGTGCATAACACAAAGCACTATAATGAATAGAAAAATATTTTCTATGAGAACACATGGAGAAACGCTAAAGCTGGTCTTCACGTTGAGCATCTCTTTCATCTAGGCCCTAATCTAACCTGAATCAATATATCATGAATAAACATAATTAATTATATAATATTCAAATTTATTTACCAACTGATATTTCGCCGTTGCAATTCATTAGCTTCGCCGTAGCTTCAAACACACACTTATATGACACTAATTATCACTTACCGATCAATGTATACATTTTCGCATTTTACAAGTACTATGCACTTTCAACGAAACACGACAACTGCCTGTATAGCTTTACGCGCGATACTCTAAAGATACATTTGAAAAATTCAAGAGACACGGACAACTTCGCATCAATGCTCGACGAACGATCTCCGACGGACGCAATTTGTTTTATAACGATCGAAAGAGACTGATGACTGCGATCATACGAACTAATAACACTGCACAACAATCGTCCATCGCTAGATTCTTCCAACATTGCGTGTAAAAATAACTTCGAACGAAAAAAAACCGCGCGTGAAACATAAAACTGTCATTCGCATCTGATATTTTTGCCGTTGTGAACTAAACTACGGTAATTAGGGCTGTATTTCAAAATGCACTGACAGTGCTGAAAACCTATAGCGTGCGTAACATGAACTATGGATTGTCAGCACTGACAGTGAATATTGAAACACAACCTTGTGATGTATATACAAAATAAGAAAATTCGAAATGAAGCAACTTCATACCAATTCTCGAAGATTCGATGAATAATATCCGCGTGATGGACACGATTGACTTTAGACTATGATCTAATATGCGCTAATTAATATTTTATGACGATCGCTGTATTCGATATTTCCGAGATGTTCAAAAGACCGAGACAGCATTACGACGATGCTCCTAAATCCATCGAGCAATGTCCAACATGACGCGACGCGACGGTTGCGATTTTACGAGTATTGAAATACTGATGAGCTCACGATCCTACGCATTGATTAACACTCCACGACAATTACCTATCATTGAATTCAACTCCAATTTGAAATTGAATAACTCTCCCGACATTGATTACGCGCGAATTTACTTCAAACAAGAAAAAACGACACGCAAACGACGCAATGATGTTCACTCGCATCCGACACTCCCGCCATTATGATGTAAAGTAATCGACGCGCCACAAAATAGATCTTATGACGTCATGTTTATGCGATCACGTTTACATTTCTAAAAAAGTGCGCCAAATTTGATTTCGTCAAATCGATAAAATTTGATTCCGGCAAAGATGCCGATATGATAAAAGTGATAATTAGTTTTTTCTATATCCTCGCATTCAACATTTTATAACTCGCAACACTATTCCATCGGTTATTATTACAATACCGAATTTTTCAATAAAATCATTTCAGAATCATTGCATTTTACGCTGAAAGTGCATCATGCTGTTTTAATCCCTGTTTTCTTCGAAGCAATAACAAAGCCAATTGACTGCAACCGCGATACATTGACTGGTAAATAAAGTAATTTAATATTATATTATATGATTATATTAGTTTATGATATAAAAGTGGAATCTGTTTTATATCAAGATCTAAATCTGTTTATAGCAAAACTAATGTAAACCGTCAAACATTGAATTTTTTAAATCTATTTTAACTATCTTATTCCCTTGCTCGTTATTTAAAGATGAATATAACACGTTCGGCAATGTGTATAAAAAAAAAGGAACACGGAGCTAGCAACCTTGATCGGCTCTCACGTGCAACAGAATTTACATGGACGCGGAGGTGGAGAGTCCCGGAGGTTCAATTACGAGATTGCCAATATGCAGGCGACATGGCGGTGGCGGCCATCGCTTCGGCTGATGAGGCTAATGGATGGTTGAAACCCGAGAAGACACGGCAAAGAGGAAAAAGAGGCCAAGGGAGAGGCCCCTGACAGCCGCTAAGTGCGCTCCTTCTCCACCCTTCTCCATCTACCATGTATCCCCCTTCCCCTCCCGTGCCCTTCGGTTCCCGCCCCGTTCTCTCCACTACTGCAACACTGTGCTCGCCTATGGATGCCCTTATGTGAAACCTAATCACTTTTAGCGCGTCACGGATATTTCGTATTATGTCTACATTGCGTTCTCCGGTATCAGCCGACTTTATCAGGCGCCTCTCTCTACATTTCGACCTTCTTTTTCCCCTTTGTCTTCTCAGAGTCAAGTCGCACGTGCAGCAAACCCTAATCGGTTGATGCGTTTCTCAGGGGAAGAAAAATCCCATTCTTAAATCAAATTTTTGATCCCTGAAAAATTCCGAAAAATCTTACAATCTCTTCGATTTAAAATCTACACTTTTATCTAAAACAATATAATTGTATATTCAAGTGCTGTATTTCTGTAATGATGGTATACTTATATATGTTCGTAAAGCTTGAAAGTGTAATAAAAAGTGATTGCAATCTTAGACAGCATAATTACGTCAAAGTGTAATTCTGTATTAGATAATGTAACATTTTTTCTTCACGTATCTTCAAGTCGCTGTCAAATCAATATACATACACGCAGATGTAATAACGATATGTTTGCGTGTTTGTACTAATGTGTATAATACACGCTCTAATGTATATGATGATTACTAATAACTTCATAAAAATAATGCATGCACAGGAAATTGATTTTTTTAGGTAACTAACATGTGATCGTGCCAGAAAATTATGCATGCATAAGATAATTTTTCTTATCATAAATTCTAATATTACCTCGTCCGCATAACACTGCATATTATAAATGTTTATACGTCACATCTTTGACCATGGTAAATATCTAGTACAATGAATACAATAGAAAAGTGCATAAAAGCGATTTTGTGATCTATGAAGAAGCAATATAAAATTAGCCTGAATAAGAATTTAAAATAAATCATTAAAATTATTGATCAAATAAATAGAAATACGCAAACAGGCACAAACAAAATCGAAGATTCAGATTTCGCATATATACGATAATCGAGAGAACGAAAGCTGGAAAGAACCGATAGGTACCACGATCACCTGGCCGTCCTAATCAAACAGAATGTAGGAACGTCTGTGCAAACATTACATCCATGATCGTGACCCGGAAGAACGAGTGCCGAAAATATTGAACCGAATGCTCATATTACCGTGCCTCAATCGCAAAATGAGTGACAAGAAAAAAAGGGTTCTATTAGCTGCTGCTTTTGTTTTCTATTCCCACATTATCTAAGCTGTCAATATTTATAGTACTTCACCTAAACTTTGATTTATCTTTTCATATTTTAAATTTTAATAATTTCTATTCCGCATGCTAAGATTGCTTTATTTTAATATTCTAAACGTAAAAAATCAGAATAATAACAAAGCTTAGAAAGATGGAAAAAAAACAGTAATATCTAGGTTTATGTAAAAACAACCTCAAAGTTTTGTAAAGAAAAAGCATAAATATGCATAAGAAGATAAAAGATATACATCGTTGCAAAACTTACAAAAACAAGGTCAATGTTTAATTGTATCATAATTAAACATTGATATCAAAAATTATAAAAAGACATTTTAAATATGTATACATACCTTAAAATCTTCTACTTCTCTTGTTTGTTGATTATTTTTGTCTTCCAACATTGATTTAACTTTTATGACTAAGACTTCTTCACAATTCTTGTTAGCTTCTCTAATTTCACGTATAAATTCTAAAACAAATAGTGCAATTTTCATTAATAAACATTTTATGATCCATCTTAATATGTAAAAAATCTTGTGATAAAAATTATGTTATATATCCGAATTATATCTACCTGATAACATTCCAGGTTGATAATCTGTAGGAGTATTGTGTTTGCATTGTGCCAATTTTGCTTTTATATTTTCTAAATTTGACTTAGTTTCATTCAATTCTTTAAATAATTGGCTGTTATATTTCTTCAATTCTGTCATCTACATAATATTTAAAATAATTATATTAATAATGTACAATAAAAAATACATTTTATATTTTAATCACCATGCTGAGAAAGTTACTTATAAATAGATCTACAATTGACATAAAGAAATACTTATAACATGTTAGATTATAATTAATAAGATTAGAAAATAATATTAATAAAACTTAATGTTTAACTTCATGTGTTTTTAAATAAATAAAAATGAAATAAAATATAATACCAACCTGTTCAATGAGTGATAGAACAAGCTTATTGCTACGGCTAATGGTGGTTATGGAACTTCCACTCTCCATACTGTCAGAATCTTCGCTGTTTGAATGAGGCAAGTTCTCAGCAGGTCCAAGTCCAGGATCCGAATATCTTCTATGCTCAGAATTTAATTCATCACCGTTAATCCCATTGTCTTTGTTAGCAGTGGGTGGTAGACTGGCATAATCTCCATTTTGGTATGCAATATGTACATTGGATTCCAATCTTCCGTTTTCCTGCAGACTCCCATAGCCATTAGCAACAATATTATTGGTACTGGGACGAACGTTCGTCGAGTGTTCATTACAGTGACGTCTATGTCTATTGTGGACGGCTCTGACATTTGGCACCGGCATCGGCTGATACATTCTGTACATTGCTGGCAGTGAGACCGGCTGCATGGTGTACGTCAATGGCAATGGTGAGTAACCACACACGCTGGGATCAGACATTGCAGTGAATAAACGTTGTCCATTATTCGGCACGTTCTGCGGAACTCCCGTTGACTGCCATAGCATCCGCGGTGGGTACTCCATATTCGATATCAAACCAGTATCCTGATCGTTGCCACTTGTCCATGTATCCAATACCGTATCCGGTAGGTTGTTTCTGCGGCTGGATCGTCTCCTATTCCTCCTCGAGTGACTCGGCACATTCTGACATGGTGGTCTCGATGGATCGGATAATCTACACGTCAATCGTCTTGTTTATACCACAACATAACCTCTCGATATCGTGAACAATAAAATCTTTACTAACCTCTTCTCCATTTTACGAGCGACTCGATCCGCATCAAGACTCAGCTCTCAGCTCCTCAAAAACAGCATGTGCGACATCCAAAGCAGGAGCGACAAGTTCACTCGTCTCAATTTACAGCTGCAACACCCGCGATCATAAGATATCACTGTATTTCTAGTGCGAATGACACCCAAGTAGTACAACCTTCGCGCTATATCGGAGCGCACTGGCGCGCTCGTACGTTTGTGCGCGAGTTTTTATCAGTCACTCATCATCAACGGAGACGTCGTGATATAAAGAAAAAACGAAAATGAAAATTATTCGATAAAGAGAAAATTATTTATGCAATTACGAACGCCATGACACACATGTGTCACGTGACGATTTGGTGCAAATAACAGTAAATGGTATTACCTCATATTGATAAGTGAAATAGTCAAATCTTCAATATCTCTAATCGATAATATAGAGACCGATAATTTACACAAACAATAATTACATGTGCAATGAGTACAACATAACCTCAAAGCGCAAAATGGCAACTGATAAAAGACGAATGGAAAATGAAAAAACCAAACCCATCTTTTGCGAATTGTCCGCTAATGATTTGGAACCGGAAATTACAGAGATCGAGAGTTTGTGTTTTGAGTGTGGCAAAAATGTAAGAAATTCCTGTGTTGATTAATTCAATGTAATAAAAATGTCTTATAATTAAGGTATGTATTTGCTGAATGATTATTTTGCATCTACAGGGAATTACAAAGCTGTTGTTAACAAAAATTCCACATTACAAAGATGTGATACTTATGTCTTTCGAGTGCCCACACTGTGGCTACCAAAATAATGAGGTACAAAGTGGTGGAAAGATAGCAGAGAAAAGAATCAAAATAACATTGCAAGTTGCAACACAACATGATCTGAATCGTCAAGTGGTTAAATCTGATTATACTAGCATTCATATTCCTCATTTGGATTTTGAGATTCCTTCACAATCTCAAAAAGGAGAAATCACCACGGTGGAAGGAATAATTGACAGAAGCATTAGTGCATTAGAACAGGATCAGTCAAGACGACGAGAAGAATTCCCAGATACTGCAATTGAGATAGATCTATTTATTAGCAAATTACATGCACTAAAGATATTAGATGAACCATTTACTATCATCTTTGAAGATATTTCAGGAAATAGTCATGTGGAAAATCCAAAAGCACCACTCAAAGATAGTCAATGTGCTATAACATATTTTAAAAGGACAAAAGAGCAAAATCAGACATTAGGAATTTACTCGGACAATGAGGATGTTTTACTCAAACCTATAGGAGAAGGAGAATATCCTCTTGAACAAATTGAGGGTGAAATATTATCTTTTTCTACCAATTGTCCAGAATGCAATAATCCTTGTGAAACAAATATGAAACTGACAAGTATCCTTCAATTATATGTGTCTAGATTATATTCTTATCTATGTTATCTGTTTGTTTTAAATGTGTTTCTTTTTGTTTTCTTTTTGTCTACATTAATTTAAGTTTATTTCTTTAAAACATAACAACATTATGCAGTAGATCATCAAAGGCTAAGATTTCTGAATGTAATGCTTCTTTGCAAGATTTAATGCTTCTTTCTTTAAATAATATTGATTATTTCTAACTCTTGTTTTAGTTCTATATCATACTACAGAAATATTTTGAACAAATTGGTGTTATTTAGTTCCTGAGAATATTTTAGAATGCTTAATTATAGAAATATTTACAAATATTTCCTTAATTTTAACTTAAGGCATACCACATTTTAAAGAAGTTGTCATAATGGCTACACTCTGTGAATCTTGTGGCCATAGAACTAACGAGGTAAAGAGTGGAAGTGGAATTGAACCTCAAGGAGTTAAGATTGAAGTGACAATAACAGGTAAGGAAGACTTCAGTCGCGATTTACTGAAATCTGAGACTTGTGATATGGAAATACCTGAACTCGAGTTAGAGGCTGGTCCAGCTGTTTTGGGTGGTCGGTTCACAACCGTTGAAGGTATCATAGTATCGATGAAAGAACAGTTGTCTTCTTCAACGGCTTTTACTGGAGATAGCAGTGATCCAGATATCGTGCAAAGAATGAAAGCGTTTATCGCTCAATTAGATGAGGTTTTGAATGGTAAAAAAAAAGTAACCCTGGTGTTGGATGATCCTGCTGGAAATAGTTATGTGCAAAGTCTTTCTGGCGATGGACCCGATGATAGATTAAAAATCACAAAGTATGATAGAAGTTTTGATCAGAACGAAGAACTTGGATTTAACGACATGAAAGTCGACAATTATTAGGTTCCTGCTAAAATAAAAGAAGGAACATTAGAGGAAGTACCATCTAAGTACAAATACCATCAAAGTATAGCTAAAGAATAACAAGTAACGAAACCTTCCATGTTAGACCATCATTGTCATTGTAGTAGGTTTCATTGTTGAAATTTACATTGTGTAAATATAAATTTTATATTATTTCCATTGAAGCAGATGCACTCTGATTATAATGCCTCCTATTTTAATCTTCACCTGCATGCCTAAAACAAGAAAAAAATTTTGCAAAGTGACCACATAAAATGACTGCGTGACTGTATAAAAGATAGCTACTATGAAACAGTAGCATACACAATTGGTATCGCGTCGAGTTTTTTCAAACCAGGCAATCGCCTTATAACTTGCGTGCGCCATGATTCGGGATCCATGTTCTCGCATATAGGATTATTAATGAATAACAGATCTTGAAGATTGGGTATTTCTTGCAGACGATTAAATTCTGCCCAATCTTTTACAAGATTGTTACCCATATACAAAACTTTGAGTGCTTTGAGAACATTTACACCTTTGATTTTTTCGATCAAATTGTAAGATATCCATAATTCCTCTAAATGATCTCCAATCGCCTCTAGTCCTGAGAATGTTTTAATATTGTTCCTGCTCAGAGACAAGATCTTCAAATATTTTAACGAATTAATACCGCTGATCTTTTCTATCATATTTGTCGATAAGGATAACTTTCTGCAAACATTTAAAAAAATTATTTGAATGATGTAAGATGCATATAAATACTTCAAGTTAATGCATAAAAAGATAACAAACTCGACATTGGTCAAAGTCGCTAAACTGTTGTCCATTCTCTCGATTGGGGGCCACTGGAAAGATAAAATTATTTCCTTTTGTTCGCTTGCGACTAAGCCTGTTTTTTCTTCCCATCTTTGAATAGCTTCTTTGCACGTTGTCGCTTTAGCCTATAATTTTATTTCCAAAAAAGTTATGAAACAATTGTGTAAAATTATATTGAATATATTTGTGGGAGTTAGTACCATAACTTTTTCCAAAGATGAATTAAAATCTGTCAAGTAATGGCATAAATTAATTTTTACTTTAACAAGACAAATTAATACCGCATGAAAATTGCAGATATTAATGAATATAACGGTAAATACAATAAATTGAGATTAAATAAAAAAGGAACTATTTTCAAATTATTGCGCATGCGAGTAATCTAGAAACTTTTGCGTGACTACCACGAAGCATTCATATTAGAGATACGCTTTATGGTATCCAAAAATTAAAATATAGGTCGGTATTTATATGGCGAATTCCCACTGAGCGCGTCACGCGTCGCATTATCCGCCGCGTCACGAATTAGGCTGGCGTCACATAGAACCCGTAATCCGTAATCCGCACCGGAAGTCCGCAAAAGTTACTAGGGATTGCGTCCGTAACGTTACGTATGTTTTTTCTCCTTGTGTCCCATGGAGCCGTAAATACACACGTAACGGTATTACTATTTTTTATTTAACAAATTATAATTGTTTATTTGTATTTTATTCATAAGAAAACTACAGAATATATTATAATTTTAACAAAAATTTTAATTAAATCGTCAAATTTAGTTAAATAAATAAAATTAAAAAAAGCATTACTAGTAATAACTAGTAACTTTTAGTAACTTTTACGGAAATTTCATGGAATTACGGCTCCATGGGACACAAGGAGATAAAACACACGTAACGTTACGGACGCAATCCCTAGTAACTTTTGCGGACTTTCGGTGCGGATTACGGATTACGGGTTCTATGTGACGCCGGCCTTACAACTTATCCGGCGAGCTACTTTATTATGGCCGGTATTCATAGTCCGTTCTTATATTCAAAATCGTCTTAGGCCGGTATTCATAGTCCGTTCTTATATTTAAGATTGTCTTAAGCACGGACTTATATTCGCTCTGTTCGTCACACATAGATTGTGTCTGACGAAGAGAGCGAATATAAGTTCGTGCTTAAAACGATCTTGAATATAAGAACGGACTATGAATACCGCCCTTAGGCTGAGTTCCACTTGATGATCGCAACGCTCGTGAACATTATCTATCTTTTTTTAACTTTCGATGAAAAACAAAGATAAAATGATTCCACAAGCGTTGCGATCGCCAAGTGGAACGTACCTTTAAATACGGACTTATATTCGCTCTCTTCGTCACGCATAGATTGTGTCTGACGAAGAGAGCGAATATAAGTCTGTACTTAAGACAATCTTGAATATAAGAACGGACTATGAATACCGGCCTATGATTGATTGATCTTTTACCGAACTCACAGTCGCAGTGTAAAACGGTTTTACGATATTTTCGAATGAATCCTTCTTTTCTTACTATTTCTTACTTGTCCTTCAGGCAGTCAACATCGTCCAGAACGAATCGGCGTAACGTTGGAGCGCATAATTATTCCACGTGTTGAGTGTAATACGGAGTTTAGCAAATTATTCCAATTCCGAGGTATGTGCATAATTTTTTATTTTTCTCCGAATTTAAAATTACGAAGGAGCAATAGTAGCATGCGAAAAATTAATACGAAAAGTAATTGGATTTAAATGGTCTCCATCAATCTGATATTTCCACTGTTAAACATTAAACTTGGATATATGGCAAAGTTAAATACTAATTTATTTTTAATTTATTATCTCAATCTGAAATTTATTGTTCCAATGCATACACAGGAACTTAATATTGAAAGTGAGGGTGTCGGTTTAATAATCGTTCCCTGCCACGTGGATTACATACCCCTTACGCCGAATTTACCGTTTTATTTGATTCTTTAAATCAGAACTTGCTTTAACTGTGATAACTGCCTAAATAACAAGGTTGGAAAATTTACTTTATAAAAGTAACTTGTTACCGTTACCGTTCATTTTTCTAAAAAGTAACTCGTTATCGTTACTCGTTACCAATTTTAAAAAGGAACTCGTTACCGTTACTCAAAAAGTAACGAACTGTTACTTGACAAATCAGAAGTATAAAATGGTTAAACAAGGCGATGCATTAAAGTACTGGATGGTTAGTCCAAGAGCAATAAGACTCTGAAGTCGGACGCAAAGTCTTATTGCTCTTGGACTAACCATCCGGCCCTACTGAAAAAAATCACGTGATAAAATCAAGTGATAAAATTACATAACAAAATCACGTAATTAATGACTAAGTAAATCACGTAATGAAATGTTCCAAATCAGTACATGATTTTTGAAAATTACATGGTTTGAAAAATCACGTAATGTTAGAAAATCATGTGATTTTATAGCAATCATATTTTAAAGAGCTGAATGATAGAAATAGAAAAACGAAAAAATATACAATTTTGATTTAGATATGTTTATTAATTTTGCATGTAGTAATGGAATTACATTATGTAGTCTCGATAAATGTAGCAATAAAATTACATTGTGATATCTTAATTATATGAAAACATTTTTTTTTAATAAAACATTTTGCATATAAAAACTA